AACTCAGCATTTATTGAATTCTCCCAAGTCTTTTTGACTTCTCCCATACACACACCATTTTTAACTACTTCAGCCTTTCTCACTTCTTCACTTTCAACTTCTCACTTTCAAACTGTGAGCAATCGGTGAGCACCCTTTCACTTTCAAACCGTGAGCAATCTAGTGAGCATCCTTTCGAACCGTGAGATTCAAATCTCAGAACTCCACATATAATTCTGTTATTTACAATTCTTTTATGTCTTGGCCCATTAAATTGTAGTTTCCATTAATTAAAATTTTTGTTTTAGCTCAGCATCTATTAAATTCTCCAAAGTAACTTCTCCTATGTACATATCCTTTTTAACTTTTTTTTTTGATTTAAAAAAAAAAACTCAGCATTTATTGAGTTCTCCCAAGTCTTTTTGACTTCTCCCATACACACACCCTTTTTAACTACTTCAGCCTTTCTCACTTCTTCACTTTCAACTTCTCACTTTCAAACCGTGAGCAATCGGTGAGCACCCTTTCACTTTCAAACCATGAGCAATCTAGTGAGCATCCTTTCAAACTGTGAGTTACAAATCTCAGCACTCCACATACAATTCTTTTATTTACTATTTTATTCAGTTTTTTTTCAATTTTTTTTTATTATGAGAAAAATGTCATTGTAGTTAGATAACATTAAAAAAATTGTGATTTGTATGATTAAAGTTATCTCATTTTGTTTATAATTTGATATTTTAATATGATTGAAGTTAACTCACAAAAAGAAAAATGTGATTGTAGTTTGTTCAATGGCTCTAAATAATAATATTATTTACTATTTTAATGGTTCTTTTTTTCAATTATTATTTTTTATTATGAGAAAAATATGATTGTAATTAGATAACATTAAAAAAATTGTGATTTATATGATTGAAATTATCTCATTTTGTTTATAATTTGATTTTTTTAATATGATTGAAATTAGATAAACATAAACACTTATAAAAAGAAAAATGTGATTGTAGTTTGTTCAATACTTCTAAATAATCTTTTTATTTACTATTTTAATGGTTCTTTTTTTTAATTATTTTTTTTATTATGAAAAAAATGTGATTGTAGTTAGATAGCATTAAAAAAAATGTAATTTGTATGATTGAAGTTATCTCCTTTTGTTTATAATTTGATTTTTTAATATAATTGAAATTAGATAAATATAAACACTCAAGGGGTTTTTTAAGCAAAAAGGAGTTTTTAACCCCAATGCCTGTGGGAGTTTCAATATCTCAATCTGAATTTTCTAAATTTTTTATTAAAAAAAAAAAACTCAGCCTTTATTGATTTGGTCAAAATCCACTGATCAGCATTTATTAACTTTTTTCAATCCACATGCTTGTATTTATTGATTTGGTCAAAATTTCTTGTTCAGCATTTAAAATCCCCTCATACAAAAACAATAGATACAATCTGTGTATAGTTACTGCAGTACTCTTTTTAACTTCTCTCATACACTATAGTTAGTGATAAGATTGTTAAATTATTTTTATAAAAAATCTTAAAAAACATAATTTATATATTAAAAAAAATCTAAAATAAATATAAATATTTATAATTATCCCGTACATAACACGGGTGATAGGCTTGTAAGAACGTAACAAACACAGATGTGTCGATTATAGTACATTACATGCCACACGTGGCTTCTTAGTTTTCGTTGACATTGAGGGTGTTTGTTTCAGCTTTTCAGAGTCAACTTATGGCTTTTAACTTTGAAAAAGTTATTTTGGACTGTTTGGTTAAACTTATTTCAAACAGTTTCTAATTCTAACAGCTTATTTTAACTCAAAAAAACTGATTCTGAGAAGCTGCTCACCCCTTACTTCTGATTATTAGCTTTTGCTGTGGACATATTAATTTATGGTTATACTCTTAAAGTTTTTTATTTTTTATTTTTTTAAAAATAGAAAAAGACTCAAATTGACTATATATTATTATTATTATTTTTTATGAGAAATGTAGACAAATAAAAAATAAAAATTAATTGAAAAAGCTATTTCATAACTTATTTAACAAACACTACTCAGCAACTTAAATCTATAATCCAACAGTTACACCAAACAGATTAAAAACTTCTGATTAAAACAATAATTTATAATCTGTTAAGTTATAATCTATAAGCTGTTTTAACAGCTACACCAACAGGGCCATTGACTTCATCTTATACCCATGTCACGTGTTCTACCACGTGGTTATTAGCTTCATCTAAAATAATCTTTTGCGAACTGTCTAGAAAAATAAATAAATAAATTATAAATACATTCTCAAAGATTTGATTAAAATACGAATTATTTTTCATAATTTTAAAAAATATATTTTACATTTTTAATTTTATAAAAAATTATTCTTTTTATTAATAAATTATCAAGTCAATTCACAATTTTTAATGATGTTAAAATATATTTCAATTAATAATTTAGATAATTTAATTATTTTATAGGAGAGCAATTATAAGTTTCATTTTTTTAGTTAATTCTGATAAATAAAAAATTCTAATAAGGGGATATTTGTAATTTTTTAAACCACAGAAAGCGATTTATATTTTAAGCAAATCTCAAGAAATGTATTTATAATTTACTCAAAAAGAATTAAATAAAACCACTTCTCACGAATTGAAAATGTACAATTTTGGTTATTATCTTCATATTTTTTTTTTTATAAATTAAATGCTTATATTTATCAATTTTCTCATAAATTTCATCAACACATTTAACATAAGATGAATTTTTAAATGTAAATCTGTATATAGTGGTCAAATTTAAAATTTTAATCTGTGAAAAAGGTATGGAACGTGGCATGTAAATCCATCCAACCTTATTCACCCAAAAAAAAAAAAAATCCATCCAACCTGAAAAGCAAAAGGGAAATATAGGGATTTTGCTGAATTTTGTACACAGTTAAAAAAGTTATTTCTTTTTTTTTTATTTTATATATCTAGTAATTGTTTTTTTTTTATAGATTATATCAAAAAATTTATTTCTTAAGTCTATCTTGTATAAATGAATTAGAAAAGTAAAAAAATTTAAAAATCAACTATTTTGACTTTTTTTGAGTTTATTTTGGATTTTTTTAAAATATTTTTCTTATTGATCTAGTTGAGTAGAATCTAAAAATATATAATTTTCTTAAAAAAAATTAAAAATTATTAAATCTAAAAAAGATAAAAATAAAAAAATACCAAAAAATCAATTCCAAACACAAAAAGAGAGAGAAGACATTCTGGAGTGAGAAAGCGACGACCAGATCTGATTTGAGACGTGAACTTCAATCTCAAGCAACTTACACACCAAAATATTTGAAGCGGTCCATACACACTGTTTTATCTATTAATTAATCTCATTAGATCTTATCCACTTTCTCTCTCTTACGTACTTCAACTAAAAATATAATAATTCTTTGCCATTGTTGGGAAAGAATTAAAATACCTAAATAAATAAATAAGGATTAATTTAATTAATAAGATAAAATATCATATTCAAATTATAATTATTTTACTTTTTTTCTTACAGCCATCGCATACAAATCAAAAAACTCAAAAAAATAAAAAAAAAATTCAAACAAAACTAATTTAACCCAACTAAATTATTCAAAAAGCTAAAAAATAAGTTAAATTAGCTCTTCTAAAACGAAGGTTTTTTATTATGCTTAAATTTTTAGATATATTAAACTATTTGAACTCCTCATATAGCCTTGTGTTTTGTTAGAACAACTTCAACGGTCAATTGATAAAAAATGATAGCTAAAGTTAAAATTAAGCAATGAACAATGTAAAAAAGTTATAGAATAGTAATGTTGCTGTAATGGTGAAATTACTATTTTAACTTAACCAAATGATGGGCGAACTTTAAAATTCTACACCTTATAATTTCTATCAAGTGGTCGACTACCTGGTCATCCACTCCAATCGACCACCGACCTCCCAAAATTGTTGCGCTAACAATTTCAACTATAGGTAAAACTGGTGTCAAATTTGATAGAAGATATAGCAAATGTATTATTTAATAACTCTGATAGCTCACCATTGGTGTCACGACCTAAACCTGCCCCTATAGATTTAGTGTCGTAACCGGCCAGTAATCCTTAGATTACCAAAGGTTTCTATATAGAATAACATACAATTAAGGGGCTAGCAAAAGCAATTATACAAAATACAACGTCCATTGAGTTGTGCAGACAAACATGGAACAGAGACAGATAATTTAGAACCATATATACATACACGTGATGTTATAATTATAGTAGTCTTACATTACCCACTGATACAAATAAAACAAATGTGGGACTAGCTCGAAATACTGGTAGTCCGAAACTTGTTCAAGATTCACAAAAAGAAAATAAAATTTTAAACTTAGTTCACAAAACATGACCCCTCAACTTTTCATAAATTAGAACCTCCTCAGGAGGCACAAAGGGTGGCTGACAGGAAGGAAATCCAGGCGATCATCGCTGAGCCTGGCTACACACCTGATCACCTACATACATAAATAATACAGTAAGCGGAGGCCTAGTGAATAATAACAAAGTAAAGGGTTTGATGAATGTTGTTCATAATAGTTACAGAAAATAGAATTCAAAAGTTAACAGAAATAGATTCATAATCATGTTCAAAAATTAAAGTTCATAACAGAAATAGATTCAGAGTTATAATCAAAATTTGTAGTCAATCATACGTGGTACACCTATTAGCATTAGCAGAAACAATTGACCCATACGAAAAGGCCATAAAGGCATACAGTTAACTCACGTTCACGGAGACGATACAGTTGACTCATGAGACGTACAGTTGGCCCACAAATAGGACGTATACTGAAGGATCTATAACAATTGGCTCATGAGACATATAGTTGACCCATAATTGGGACGTAACAGAACAAATAACAGATGTCATCTGAAGCTAAAAATGCCACGAATACATTTTAGAAATATTGGACAACCATTTATTCATGCACAAAATATTATTTTAGAAAACAGATCATCTTATATCATTTAAAAAATACTTATAAATTGACCGTAGCTTTACAAAGTTATTACTCACAGATGACTCCACTTGCAAAACAAATTAAGCAGACAAATCAACTAGCTTACAGCGCGTAACCTACACAAACATAACAGATTCACATATTGAAACACACACTCGGATAGTACTTAACTTAATTCACTTCGTTCTTAGTGTGCTTTTAAGTCTTATCCTCATTATTATGTCTTAATTAGGGCTTAAGAATGCCTAGAATGCAATGAGGATGCCAAAATGTGATACACAACACTTAGTCAATTATGCTAAAAACAGGGGTCTCGCTTGAGTGCAACTTCCCTCGCTTGAACAGATGTTCAAACATGTGAGTGGTCGCTCGAGCGCAACTTCCTTCGCTCGAGCAGTTTGTAAAACTTTGCAAAAGTATTGGTTGCTTGATTTTTCGGCTCAACGCACGCTCGACAGTCTCTCAAGCGTGAGATCGAAATCCTCACTCGAGCGCAACTCTTGTCGCTCGAGCGGTTTGCAAAAATGGTAAACTTCCTGGAGTATGCATTTTACGCTCGAGCCAACTTTTGGTCGCTCGAGCGAAAGTGCAAAATACAGAGTGGTCGCTCGAGCACAGGCTCTGTCGCTCGAGCGGAGAGACAGAATCTGGAATTTCCAGATTGCTCTTTCAAGTTCGAAACTCAAATTCAAAGCTGCAAATAATGGTCTTTTAGGCCAAAAACTTGAGAAAATACTTGTAAACTGATAAAGCATGGTGAATTCAAAATCATTTTGCAAAATTAAGCCCAAAAGCTTTGTCAATTGTTCAAAACTCAAACTTAAAATTGTGAAAACTTATCATTACATATCATGTATGTAAAGATACAAGTTCAAAACTTTCAAAACGTGATCAAACGAAGTGTTTAACTAAAAAACATGTTGAATTCTTAAAACAACGCCAAAATGAGGACATGCAAGAGGAAATTCTTTGAAGTCAACTTCAAAATCATGAGAATTATACATGCATGCATGATACGCTCCTAAATCTATTTATCTAAGCTTGGTTCTTCCATTACACAACTTAGTTCCTTGAATTCAAGTGTTAAGTGACTCAATTCCAAAGTTCAAAGGTTGAATTCTCACCTTAGATGATCAATGATGCTCTAAATGATCAATTGTTTGAAGTTCCAAGCCAAAAACTCCAGGTTCTCTAGCAATCCTCTTAATTGGAGCTCAAACTCCTCTTTTCTCTCTCTCTCTCTCTCTCTCTCCCTCTCACGTTTTAAGCATGAAGATGAGGAAATGGAGGTATAAACTAAAGGCCTAAGTCAACAATGTGCCTTATATAGGCTTGATTAGTGATATATAATTAAAGGCTAATCATGAGATATTTTTAACTCTAATTATTTGGTTCCGAATAGAATTCCAATTGAATCTACTATAATGTTCTAAAAATTTCAAATAATTCATAAATTAAGTCAATTTCATGATCGGATGCCGATAATGCCTTCAATTCGCAGAACACAACAGAAATACAAACAAATATTTCTACCATGGACAAATACAATGCAAATCACACACATAACATATAATTAATCACATGATTTCATCGTAGATACTTATTAGACATTCCTAATCTTGGATGATACGTTAATCATGGGTCGAGATTGTTACAATTGGAGATAAAAAAGAAAAAAACAAAAAGTGAACTCGGTGCTAGTTTATAGCAATAGCAACTCTAATGCCTCACCGTTAGAGTTGCTCTTATAAGGGCAAATTTCACTTTACCCCTCTACAGTTTGAAGCATGTGCGGTTTACCTTCCTAACATTTATAAATGACCACAAAACCTCCTGTGATTTGCGGATGCCTGTTAACGATTTAATGAAAAAGATCGAAATACATTTGTACTTTCGCTATTTGTTTAGAAAGAAAAATGCACTTTAACTCTGTGTACTCTATTCCATGTGCGATTTATTCTCTTGAAATTCGAAAATAAATATATGATCCCTTATGTCTCCTATGTGTTTCGTATTTGCTGTTAAGTTAGATATAATGTTTAACGCTGCATTTCAGTCCACAAAGTATATGAGGATTATATAGTCATTTTCAAATGTTAAGGGAGTAAATCACAAATGACCAAAACCATAAGGGAGTAAGTGAAATTTGCCCTGGTTATAATTTTACCAAAATAAATAATGAGTAAGACAAAAATAAATAAAATATAGCCAATTAAAAATGGAGAATAAGACGAAAAATGAAATATGACAGGTTAAGCTTTCCTCAAGTCTATAATGATCACTTTCTATTCCTAGTAAGCTCATAATCTAACTTTTTTCAACTGCACTTTATAAATAAGATCTGGTTAATCACTGTTCAATTGAAAAAAATTAGAACTTAATTATAGATTTCACATATTTTTATATATTTGTATATATTTCAATATACTTTTTATACATATATTAACATAAATTATTTAAAGCATTTAAAATGTTCAACAAACAGGTTTTCTTCTTCTTCTTTTTTTTTTTTTGTTCGATAAGTTACAATCACTTCTCTTGAGATTTAGAAGAAATATAGTTAGTCCTACACTATAATATACTTACACTAGTCTCCTTTAAGATTTTAATTCATCTATTTTCTATTAATACATATCTACCTTTATTTATTTTAATATCTATCCATTATCCACATTAGTTTCGATTGATTTAATTTTAATAAAGATTATGTCAATATAATTATATTAAAAATATAAAATTAATTGTATTTTTTTTAAATCTCAAAAATATTTCTTTTTATTTTGCATGGAAAAATTGTTATAAGAGACGTGTTCTTTGCTTACGAGGAGATAAGCATCAACCACACCCTACAATGACAATGGATCAACATGGAATGACAAGAACGTTGGTTCTTATATCTCAAACTTTCTTGGTTAAGTGTCATAGTTTCCTCAACCAAGCAAAACAAATGAGTCCAAGACAAGGGCAAGCTCAAGATGGCCTCACTACTAATTGAAGAATTCCAATTCTTTATTGTAATCAAACAAAAATAAACAACTAAACTCTTGTACACAACTTGTAAATCCAAATATTGTATGCTAATATTTAATAAAACTTCAAGATAAACTTAAAGTTGATATCACAATCAACTTTGAGAAGATTGACATAACTACGTATAAGAACTAATGTTATTATCAATCCTCGTCCTATGGAATTCCATCTCGGAATATAATTAATAATCATCTATTTTCTATTAATACATATTTACCTTTATTTTTTTTAATATCTATCCATTATCCACATTAGTTTCGATTGATTTAATTTTAATAAAGATTATGCCAATATAATTATATTAAAAATATATAATTAATTGTATTTTTTTTAAATCTCAAAAAATTTTCTTTTTATTTTGCATGGAAAAATTGTTATAAGAGACGTGTTCTTTGCTTACGATGAGATAAGCATCAACCACAACCTACAATGACAATGGATCAACATGGAATGACAAGAATGTTGGTTCTTCTATCTCAAACTTTCTTGGTTAAGTGTCATAGTTTCCTCAACCAAGCAAAACAAATGAGTCCAAGACAAGGGCAAGCTCAAGATGGCCTCACTACTAATTGAAGAATTCCAATTCTTTATTGTAATCAAACAAAAATAAACAACTAAACTCTTGTACACAACTTGTAAATCCAAATATTGTATGCTAATATTTAATAAAACTTCAAGATAAACTTAAAGTTGATATCACAATCAACTTTGAGAAGATTGACATAACTACGTATAAGAACTAATGTTATTATCAATCCTCGTCCTATGGAATTCCATCTCGGAATATAATTAATAATAAAATTGGATATTGATATGCCTAATACACATGGGCCCTTGCAATATAATTTTATATTTGCACACAAGATCTAAATCCTCACCCATAAGATTTTTGTACACCATCAACTTTATTAAAAAATTAAGGACAAATTACATTGATAGTTCTTATATTTTGTCGTTTATATTATTTTAGTCTTTACAATTTTAATTAGTTCAATTTTAATATTTAATTTTATATTTTACATCAATTTAGTTCAATTGATATTTTTGTTAGGCTTTTTGACCCCAAAAAAATTAGTTAGAGTTAAGTTACTGAATTGATCAAATTATAATTTTGCTCATAAAACCATGATACATGTTCATGTATGCATTTGTTATAAAAATAAATAAATAAATAATAATAAATATTAACAATTAGAATTAATTGGATCAATTTGAGATGAAGTTAAATATTCAAAATTAAAATCGTAGTAATTGAAATTATAATAATCAAAAGGGCAAATTATGCAAATAGTCCCTGTAGTTTACACGATGTGTCAATTTAGTCACTGTAATTTCAATTTGCTAGATTTTGCCCCTTAATTTAACGAATTGTGTCATTTTAGTCCAATAAATAACGGTTGTTAAGTTAATTTAACAGAAGATCAAATAATGTGTCAATTTGGTCCCTGTACTTTACACGATGTGTTAATTTGGTCCCTGTAGTTTCAATTTTCTCGATTTTGATAGGGACTAAATTGACACATTATGAAAAATACAAGGACCAAATCAACATATTGTTTGACTTTCTGTTACATTAGCTTAACAACTGTTATTTATTGGATTAAAATGACACAATCCGTTAAATTAAGGGGCAAAATCGAACAAATTGAAACTACATGAACTAAACTGACACATCGTGTAAACTACAGGGACTATTTGCAGAATTTTCCCTAATCAAAATGAAGGATCAAAGTACAAAGACTAACAATATAATTTTGTTGAAAAAAATAATCTTTGGTAACTTCAATGTGAAATTAAAGTAAGTCCCAATCATTGGTTGAGATGGGTTTAGATTCTTTGTAATGCGTTCTTTACAACACAAAAAGAATGACCAAAAACCATTAAGAATTGAATGAGATATTGTCTCATAAACATAGCATCATGAATGAGGTATCAGAAATTGTGTATAACTACCAATCCTATATTGATTGTAGAGAAAAGTTTTGATTGGTATTTAAACTTCGAGATTTTGATAAGGGCATGAGCTCTTTGGGACATCCAAATTTTCGGAATAAAGGGAGTTATGAATGCTTCAAGAATGGACCTGGGCCAAGACTATGGTCCAAGTTAGTTATGGAAAAAGTGTCACACGCCGCCTGCCCGCCTGGACAGGGCTGGATCCGTAGATCTTGGCTCTTGGGCTTGAGGCTAGAATAGGTTAGGTTTGGGCTGGGCTGGATTGGTGGCCCACCAACCTAAACTTTTTGGGCCAAGTCTGTTGCAAATATACACACTTGTGTATACAGAAAATATATCTCAAATATTTTTTCTCATCAGTTTTGGTCCATTACTCCAGCAGTTTTTGCAGGAGTAATGACCATTAGTTGTCAACCTTCATGGGCATTAGTAGTGCCTTCATGGCTGAAAGCTGCTACTCTCTCTCCCATGGTGTATAAAAGGAGACACATCTTCTTTGGTTTTGACATAGATTTTTTGCTTCCAGAATATATACAATCAATTTGCTTCTACCTATAAGTTTTCTTTCTGTGTAAGAGAGTGCTGCCATTGTCGGTTCGTCAAAGCTATTAAAAGGTGCTTCTGCGTTAACCGGTCTAAACGGTCTTATCTTAAGAGACAGAAGCTAACGTACCTCTAACACCCACAGTGAGACAGGTAATCTATTTTAAAGAGACTGTGATACCACATAAGTTTCGGTTTGCTTTCTTTATCATTTTATTGTATTGTGTATTTCTGTACAATATGATTGTAAATTTCAACATGTTTTTTTTATTCTGTTGTAATTGGATTAATCATGAATCTATTTATTTAGTGAATTACACAATTTGGACAACAAATTTGTTCAAATATTAAAACATTTACTATTCTTTAAAATTTTTATACATAGAATCAAAATTATGTGACATATTTGATATGTTTTTTATATGATTTTTTAAGATCAAAATTAAGTGACGTTGTTAAATAGAACATTATTCGTCCTAGTATAATTTAAATAGAAAAATTAAACCCAATAAAACAAAAAGAAAATCATCGTGTACTAAGTATATGTAATTTAGGGTTGAAAAAAAAAAAAAGACAGCTTCACAAGCTAATGGTTTCTACCTCTTTAGTTTGTTAAATTAAGTTTGATAATTATGATCTCGTTTGACAAGTAATTATTTTTATTAAAAATATTAAAAAAATCAAAAATAAATAAATATTCAATTCATATAAATAAAAAAAAAGGACAAAACCCCAATAAATCTCAAAATTCAATTTGTTGAATCATTTAATCCTACCTTTTATTTTGTAAACTGATAAGTCCTAGTTGAATGTTAGTTACGTAGAACCCATGTAAATAACATGTGGTTTGTCTTTAGTAGAGAGTAAATGTGAGTTTTTGCTGATGTTGTGGTTACCAAAATGCCCAAAAAACATACTATAGCATTTTTATGTTTTACCTCCATCCCGAACAAAACGGCCGAGATGTAAAGGAAACTTTTGGATTTCCATCCCAATGTTAGTGATTGGAATCCTCATCCTATGTGATCGAATATTCACATTTGGCAATGTTGATCATTCAATACACAATCCCAATGTTGTAACCTAACCCACAAAAATCCTAGAAAATCAAAAAACCCCTTATATATAGTTAATATTTGCAGAGGCGATTTGCCGTTCTTGATCTGTGATTGTCATCGATCCAATAAAATCGGTGAGCTAACATCATCGGTGCGTCAGCGTTGGTGTGGGTGCTGTTGTGCGATGACAACATGTATGTGAATTACTTTGATGTTGATTTGAATGTTTGAGGGTTAGAACATCACGGGGTTGATGTTCGACACCAATGATATTTTGGGTTTCAAAGTCGTATTATAGGTTGGAGGGTCGAATTGTTCTAGTTTTTGAAGTTGTTTTTTTGTTTCGAAATCGACTATAATGAACAAATCACCCAAGACATAAACATCATGAGAAGATGATGTTGCGAACCCCTATTCATCGGACAATCGTAAATACGTTCCAAACACAACATCATACATTGATCCAACAAACACCACAAAATCGCCATTCGCCGTGAGAAATGAGGGTTCTTGACCTGTGATTGTCATTGATCCCATAACATCGGCGAGCTAACATCATCTGTGGTCATGTTGTTTTGTGACGTTCCAGTATTGTGTTTGTTGCTGATATTGATCATGTCGCTAATGTTGTTTATGTTGATGATGTTGCCGGTGTTGATAATGTTGATGATGTTGTTTTGTGATGTTCCAGTACTGTGGCCATGTTGTTTTGTGATATCCCAAAATATAACATTATAAGCCAAATACCAAATTGGGAATGGTGAAACAACTTCCAAAAGAGCCTACGAAATCTCCTCCTACAAAATAGTAATGTTACAACATCCCTTAAACAAACACACAATGACAAAATCAAAATGAAATCATAATATGGGAAAAAATGTAAACTCCATATATATCAAAAACATATATCATACCAAAATAAAAAGGACTAAATAGTTTGAGAAAAAACACTCATGACTAATTAGAACAACATTTACCAAAATGGGATTTATTAGTAATGTTTTCTAAAAAAAAATTCCTTTAAATTCTTTTTACATTTTACATTTTACATCTTTATTTCATAAAAGATTAAAAATAATAATAATAACATATTAATTTTTTTCGTTACATATTATAATAATAATAATAAAAAATAAATATACCTCTCACAAACAAAATCCTAACCATAAGATTCTTAAAATTGAACTACAAAACCTAAGTATTTGCTTTGTTATATTCTAAAACTTTTAAGAATACTTTTGATAGGAAATTCTCACACTAGAATTTTAACATGAGCTCTAGTGAGGAAGGAATTATTCAATACTCTTAAAATATGAACACGTGAAATGTCATAAGATTTTGATTAGTGGAGAAGCGTAATAGTCCACAATTTATGTTGGGAATGAGAAAACACATAAGATTAAATAATTGATAATTAACTTAAAGTATAACTATATGGTGTTTGGAAAATATTGAGGTGTGTTGAAGAAAAAAAAAACCGTCACATCAACATGTAGATCCACCATTAAGTTCCCAAATTAAAACTTTCAACATTATTAAGCTTCCGTTTGGGAAGTGGGTTGGCTTTTTGACTTTTTGGCTTTTTTGGCTATTTTAGCCTGAGCTTAAAAGCTTGATTTGGAAAGGGCTTTTTGGCTTTTTGACTTTTTTGAGTTTTTTTGTGAGAGAAAAATGTAATGATTATGGGTTGGATGTGATGTTTTGTTTGTTATGGCTAAAATAGCCTATTTTGTTTTTTGTGGCTAAAATAGCCAAAAAAACCTGTAAACCCACTTGCCAAACACAGGCTAAGGGATCGTATGGTTTTTGAGTTAGGTTAAAAAATCAAAAAATCATAAAAGGACAAAAATTACAAAAAAGATGAAAAAAAATTTATCATTTTAAAGTTAAAAGTCAAAAAAGCCAAACAAAAATATCAAACGACCAAAAACATCTCAAGTTAAAAAAATTAAAAAGCGAACTAAAAAATTCATTTTCAAACGAGAGCACTCAATTAACAATAATGGATCCAAAACAACGTGTGCAGTACACGAAAAAGTATAAACCACGAACAAGAAAAAGAATATAACGAATATCTTTTCCTGTGAGTAAAAAAAAAAAAATCTAAATTGAAAAAAATCAACTAGAAGAGGGAGGGTACTGGCCGGAACCACCAGGCCACGACGGTGGTTCAAAAACTGGCCCCCCGCTGCTGCCACCACCACCACCACCCTGATTTCGATTTCCCGGTGGTAGGAAATAACCCATTTGTTGATCAGAAAAAAAAGGAGGATATGAGGAATTCGATGAAGTGACTGAAGAATCAGCAGCAAATGAAGGTGAAGAAGAAGAGGCCAATGATTGTGAATTCAAACCAGCTAATGAAGAAGCAGAAGAAGGAGAAGCATAGAACATTTGCTCTAAAGAGCTTGTGGGTTGAAAATCACCAGTGCTTCGAAGCAACTGAGAGTATTCCCAGTAGTCCCTAGCGGTGTCAGAGGTCTGAAATTGCTGGGGTTGAAAGAACACAGGAGGAGGCTGAGATTGGGTTGCTGGAAAATGATGGGTAGTTGGAGAATTGGAAATGGGGATTTGGGTAGTTTGAGAGAGTTGGAGAGGAGGGAGTAATCGGACATTTTCAGGGAAGTTGAGTTTGGCTCTGTTTCCTCTGAATCTTAGGGCAGCTTCATCATATGCTCTTGCTGCTGCCTCAGCTGTGTCAAATGTACCTAACCATACCCTTGCTGCTTTGTGGGGGTCTCTTATCTCTGCTGCCCATTTTCCCCATGGCCTCTGTCTCACTCCTCTGTATCTTATTCTTCTCTCTCTTGTTTCTTCATTTGATGCTGTCACTGCTGTTGGTGGAGTTTGGGTAGTGGTGGTGATGGTGGTGCTTGGGATAGTGGTGCTGGTGGTTGTCACAATGTTTGTTGTAGGTTCCTCTGCTGCTGTTATTAAAAAAACATAGATTACACTCGTATCAAAGCATAGAGTAGTGTGACAATGAAATGAGAAAAAAAATTTAAAATCATGAAATCCAAAATTGATGTATAATCGTGCTTCCCCAACCACCCCCAAAAAAAAAACCCTCAGTTCATGGACAAAATCATGCAATATTACGTAGAGTAACTTTTTCAACCTCACTTTTTATTTTTTTTGATTAATTTAATTAGTTATTTAATTAATTTTAAAAAAATAATACGAAAATTATTTATAAGTCCTATTGGGGAGACTTACATATGGTCCTACTAAAAAACTTATGTTCCTATAAGTCTTGTGGAAAGTTTGTTGACACATTTACCCTCAATATTAGTTGTTAATATCATAAATAATAGTAAAACCATATATAGAAAATTAAATGTTACCATAGATCATATCCATATAAACGTAATGTAACGTGACACCTACATAAACGTAGCGTGACACCTATACGTAATGTGACACCTATATAAACGTAACGGGACACTTATGATCTATGGTAACATTCAATTTCATTCATATGTAGGAAATTGAATGTTACCATAAATCATATTTACATAAACGTAACGTAACGTGACACTTACATAAACGTAATGTGACACCTATGATCTATGACAACATTTAATTTCCTATGTAGGAAATTGAATGTTATCATAGATCATATTTATATGAAACGTAACGTGACACCAATATAAACCAACAAAATTTTCACATTCAATTTAAAAAAATAAAAACTCATTAAGTTTGCGAAACGTAACGTGACACGTTACGTTACGTTTATGTGGGTGTCACGTTACGTTTATGTAGGTGTCACGTTACATTACGTTTATGCAGGTGTCACGTCACGTTACGTTTATGTAGGATCTTGTGGAATACATTTCTATTTAAATAGGACTTGAGACTCTATAAAAAATTACACAAAACTTAACCTAATATAAGTATCTGAAAAATACACTTATAAATAAGTCTCCCAAAAATAATTATAATTTAAATATGATATTTTATTTTATTAACTTGTTTAATTTATTTTATATTTTTTTTTAATCCAAACTCACTCCCAACCATGTTGCCAAACGGCAGAATAGTTTTCATTTTATAAATATGAATCCAAAAATATGTGTAATATTGCCCCAAAAAATGAAGAGTAATGAAAGAACTAAAAGAAACGGTGGATGAGTAGTATCCAAAATTATTGATTGAATATAAGTCTTACTCATCAAATTAAACTAAATTCTTTCATAGATATTGAAATTGATCAAAGTATAAGAAGTATTAAATTATAAATTTGAGAGGAAAACAAAGAAGCTCAAGTGATAAAAACTAAATAAATAAAATAAAAATTTAGAAGAGAATAAAATGGATGATGAAACAGTGGTAGTTAAAGGTTAAAAAATTAGAACTAACCAGTTGTAATAGAAGATGAATCTCCATGAGGTGAAGCTCTGAGATCACTAAACCCTCTATAAACCCTATGAAGCTGTTCTGAATATTGATTTTGGGTTACACTAACTTCTTCTCGTCCTCTCTTCTGTCCTACCCACGAACCTGAGCTCGAAGAAGAGTACCCCGGAGAAGCCGAATTCGACGGCGAATAAATCCCAGAACTACCCACAAACGACGTCGTCGCAGCCCCTCTCAGCTCAGGCCTATAACCCCTCTCGCCGGGCCTCCTACCGGAGACGACATGTGTCAACGCCGTCACCACCGCCGACTCCTCCCTCGGCCTACTGTACCCTGAAAACATCGTTGTTTGTTGTTGTTCTTCTTCTTCTTGTTGTGGCTGAGCTTGGTGGTAATAAGGTCCTCCTTCATCAGTGGTTTCACTGGCCGGAAATCTGACAAACTCGCCGGTGTCTCCTGGGTTCGCCACCTTTGATAAGCACATGAACCCAATTCAATCTCGCTGGAAATCTGACAAACGAAGACCGACCCAGATGATTTGCCGGCGAATTGTGACGACCCTTTTGAGGTTATTGTCAAACGATCGCTATATAAGCAGATTGATACCTGAGATTTGGTTTGGCCAGCCGTCAAATACACAGTCTCTCTGTCTCTGTCTGTCTCCGTCTCTCTCTGTTCTAAGGTGGGGAAATTAATTTATATACTTTTTGTAACCAAAAAAACACAAAAAATAATACTCGTGCTTTTGGATTTTGATTCTTTAATTTTAGGTGAAATAACAAAAACGTGTTCAGTGGCCGACTCTGTTGGTTTGTTCACACCGACAAATGGACTGGTTATAGAGATGTTAGATGTATCTGCGCACAAGCGGCAGCACTAGCATCACTAAATTGATGTCGGTATTTTTAGAGAGGAGAGAGGAGAGAGGAGAGAGATAAGAGAGAACAAAAACTTTCAGGAGAGTTCGTCTTTGAATTGAGTTTCTTTAAATATAATTCGTGTACAATTTTAATAAATAAAAATAAAAATAATTAATAAATTAATAAATATTTTAATACGACTATTATTTAAGTAATAAGAGTCTTTTTACTTGAATTTAAGATTGTAAGGTCATGTTTGGTTGGAGAATTTTGAAAGTAATTTAAAAAAGAAAATAAAAAATATGTGTAAAATTAGGTAAAATAAAGACATATTTTATTCATATTTCACTTATATTTTTTCTTTTCCTTTTTAAATCTCTTCTTCAATATCCAATGAAACACAAAGCAAAAGTTTAAATTTTGTGCATCTTTTTTTTATAATTTTTTATTTTAAAATAAAAAAAAGCTGCCAGATAGTTCTTTTTTGGTTACTTATACGACTATAAGTTATCATTAAGATTAAAAAATATTTAAATTTTAATCCATATTTGGGAGAAAATTCCTTCAATACACATCCTTTTAGAATGAAATCACAAATTTTTATATTAATATTACACATTTTATCATTTAAAAATGTTTTGATAATATGATAATGTTTTGCATTTCGTAAGAAGATAGTAGAAATAGATGATTATTGTAATATAGATAATACTTTAAAACGCTTTTAACACTATTGTTAATGTTGAAAATGTTTGGTTTCAAACTTGGTACAATCCAAGATCATCATTCCTTTTGGTTTGCTCAACCAAAAAACCATTCGGAAGGTCTAGAAGAATATCAAAAAATATGAGATTTTATTAAAAATGATATACAAAAGAATTTTAGAATATTCTCTGGCATCGAGAATAGTACGTATAGAGATTTTAAAAAATATAGGTTAAAGTGTGTTCAAATATCTGTAAAGTATATTAAAATTATAAATATTATAATATTTGAATATTTTATAATTATTATTGACTATTCAAGTGTGTCATTTATATGTTAGCCTGCCTCTTGTAATTTTACTCTATATTCAAACTCGAGTTTTTTTATCTATCAAGTCGATCTCAAATTTTAATCAAATTTAATTTAAAAATTTTAATTTTTTATAATATATATAAGATTATTAAACTGAGTTCAGAGCGGATCACAATTAAATTCAAATAATTTTATTTGTTTTATTTTATGATCCTAAAAATACCAATGACAATGGGCTTTGCAAGAGGTAAACAGAGTCCAATTTGGACTGAGCCATAGTTCGGGCGGTTTAGGGTAAATGTTCGGGTAGGTGCAGGTGCACCGTTCTATAGTGGAGGATGAAACACTAGGACAAGCTGTTCTTTTATTTTTTATTTTTTTTATAGTTATTATAATTTTTTTTATTTTGCAAAAATGTTTTTTTTTTAAAAAAAATACTAAATTTTAGCAACAATCAGCTTTTTGAATTTTTTTGGTAGCATCATTTTTTATATATATATATATATTTTTAAATATCAAAAAAAATCAAAAAATTAAGGTTAAGTTTGGCAACTCAAAAATAATCAATCTTTTTATCTTTTTATCTTTTTTTCATCACATCAACTCTCTACTTTTTTACACATTTTTTCGTAAAAAAATAAAAAATACACTTATTTAAGTCATCCCAAACAACCCCTAACTTTTGACCTTCTTCCAATATTAATATCAATTTAATATTTACAAGTCATGATTTTTACTCATGAAAAATAAAATCTGTATTAAAGATAGCCCAAATTAGTTTGTAGATTTACAAGTCATGACTTTACTGACATGACTTTTCTGAAAAGCTTTTTTTTCCTTCAGAATAGCGGTTCTACATATCACCATTTGGTTGACAATGAGTTCAGTGCTCACCTAGGAGTGGACAAAATCCCAAGTCGGGTTGAATTTGCCCTATATAGTAAGAGAAAATATATCATTTCAAATTTAGCTCCGCCTGATATTTAGGCCTAGTTTGGAAAGATTAAATAAGTGCACTTTTTAATTTTTTATGAAATATGGATTGAGTTTGAAGTGATGTGTTAGAGAGGTGATGTGACTTAAATAAGATAATGTGACTTAAATAGGATAATGACTTTTTGTCTTTTTGTCTTTTTTGTCTCATGTCAAACTTGGCCTTAGCCTAATTTAGTCATCTCAAATTTGATTTTAAAAATATTCAAATTCTGATCTCATTTAACCCAATAAATATGAGCTATTTTGTTTTTAATCTTTAATGAATATTAACAAAATATATGTATTTTGAATATTAACAAAATTCAATCATAAAAATAAATATGATTTTTAAAAAATATTTTAATTTAAGTACTAAAAAGAAATATATATATATATATATATATTTTATATATTTTATTTTATTTTTAATTAATAATATAAAAATGTAATTAATATTTTATAAATGGATAGGGCGAACTAAACTGAGTTATAATTTTTCTAAGCTGAGCAAAATTATTTTTTCAAATCTTAAAAATATAGACGAATCAAAGGGCTGACCGCGAGCCCTGAATAGCTAAGCTCACCTCACGTTTTTTAATATTCAAAATCAGTGTTTCATGGTTGCTAAACTTTCCCTTTTTAGAAAAATAATAGGTAGAGCGCACATTTAACGTTTCTGGTTAAAATTATAAAAAGAATAATATTATATGTATTAATTAGCGCACTAATTAGTATATCAATTGATGATATGACATAATTTTAAAAAAAATTATATTTGTAATGTAATTAATGAGTATGATCAATAATAATAATATACTAATTAGTGCATGTAGTACCATCGTTATTGAAAACTTAATGAATTTCGGTGGTGCTATATGCACTAATTAATATTCTAACATTAGTTATGACATTTTTATTAATCCCACTTATCATTGAATTACAAGTATCAAAAATATTTTTAAATTATGTCAGATCATCAATTGATATATTAATTAATATATTAATTAGTACACTAATTGATATATATAATATTATTCAATGAATTTCCTTGACACATTAATAGCAAAAAAGAGAAATTAAAATAACATAGTTATCATATACCATGTCAATCCAATGAAATGGTCCAATTTAGTCGGTACATTTTTAGAAATGTACACTAGGGGTGTGCATAATACCGTTGAAACTGTCAAAACCACACCGAACCGCACCGCCAAGGCAAATTCATTATTATTTGCCAATCGAACCGCCGATTTTTGATAAGAAAAATGACAAATTTTAGTGACACTTTAATCAATCCGCCGGTTTCTATTTTTCTTCCAAACCGCACCAACCCGCACCACTATTAAATCATGTTTTATAAGATTCTAAAAATTCTTTTTTACTTAAGTTTGCTTGTTGTTCTATACCTTAGAATATAGTATTATATTACTGCTCGAGTGGAATTCAAGATGTCAGTAATCCAAAATAAAGTTGGATTCCAATTCACTTTTCAATCTTTTTTTTTTTCTGGCCATGTTGCTACACTTGCTGCATCAGAAGAAAGTTTCGCAAGATGCTTAATATCACGGTATCTCTCGCCTTTTTTTTACTCTTTGATTTAAGTTTTGTAATTTGAATTATATTTTTTATAAACCGCCAATCCACCCGAACCGCCAAGGCAAATCCGCCATTATTTGCCAACCGAACCGTTGGTTTTTGATAAGGAAAATGACAAATTCTAGTGACACTTTTATCAATCCGCCACCCGCCATACGGTTTCTATTTTTCTCTCAAACTGCACCAACCCGCACCGCGCACACCCCTAATGTACACCACACAACAACTTATCCAAATTCAAAATTAATGATTTTGTTTTGAAATATATTTATATGGTCAAAACACGTCTCTCTCTTCTAAAAGTTAAAAATAATTAAAAATTATCTTTTAATTTTTAACTTATTTTAAGTCATATTATCACTCACATTTTTTATATATTTTTGTAAAAAAAATTATAAAAACTTAAAAAAGTCAACTTTAACCGTCTTTTAAAAATAACCTTCAATAATAAACTCATTCAATTCAAAGCATGAGTTGCATAGGACAAACCAGTCTGCTCAGTCAAACAACTCAAAACACTATCCTTTCTCTCTTTAGGCTTTGTATGACAATAGTTAAAAAAAAACTCTTTCTTTCTTTCCTTTTTTTTTTTTAATATATGACCAAAAAAAAAATAGTATTTTTCAGTTCATCTAGTCTACAAAGAACTAAAAAAAAAATTATAAAAAAGTTTAACTAAAGAGGGAGAGAAAAAAAGAGAAAGTAACGTTTAAGGTTTTTTTTTTTGGTTTTTAGTAGACCTTTTATTTATTTATTTATTTATTTTATAACTTTTCAGGTATATACTCTACTTACTAGGACCTAAAAAAATTTCAGGTATACCTAATCTACTAGGACCTTAAAAAACAAGGAGAGAAAGGTTAGAAATCTACAACTTTAGACCCTAAATCTAAATAAAAAAATTGACATCCATCATGCCCAAGTCAAATTTTGGAACAAAAAAATTAAAAGTTTCAAACATTTTTTTTTCTAAAAAAACAAAAATAAAAACTACTAAAAAAAATATTTGCCAAACTTAGTTTTAGTTAAGGCCCATCCAATCCAAAGTATTAATAAATAAAGAAATATATTTACATGGCCCAATTAAAGCCCAAACTCTATCATTATATATTATTTTTATTGTTAATTATGCTTGTTTTGGTTGTACCTAAAACTAAGTTCCACTTTAACCGAGTTATTTCGTGCAGGGCAAATTTTATTTTATTCCGTACTTTGTGTCATGTGTCGTTTATTATTTAATATTGTAAAATGATCACATAACTTTATATAGTTTGTGAATTAAAATGCACCGTTAAATATTCTGTTCAATTTAACAATAAGTGTAAAATACGTGACATAACCGTTAAATATTCTGTTCAATTTAACAATAAGTGTAAAATACGTGACATATATAAAAGAGTTATATACTTATTTTCAAATTTCAAGGGGATAAATTGCACACGAAACAAAATATAAGATGTTAAAATACATTTTACCTTCCAAACAAATGATAAAAATATAA